CTCATTTCTCCACTCTTATCTACAATCCTGTCAGCCACCACCGTGTGGGTAAACAACAGCACGTTAGCTGCCCGGTCTGAAACACGCACACGCACTCGCACAGTATTTTGTGCGTATGCGCGTATCATGCGCAAAGCATAAACATATCTATCGAACATTTATCGAACTTTTGTTAAAATTATATCGCGATAATTATCATTATCCAATTATCGCCCAGCACTAGTTGTAGTTGTTGAAATAATCACCCATGATTGTACTGTACCATCTGTATACCCCATAAAACTGCCACCTTGTTTTCTACAGTCTGCAAACATCATGCCCCTTTAGTACTGTGCTTGATGCTGGGCATCAGATGTTTCTGTACAGTCTCCCAGGTGCTTAGGCACAGTACTACTGTCAAAAACAGATCTGTATAAAACATGCAAAGCTTACGCCTGATCTTCCAAAGATCAAATCACTTGGAAGGAGATGACGTATCCTTATAAGTCTTCCAGGGTGCTAAACGGTTTTTGTTGGCAGTGCGATTTTGGTTTTGTACTATGTTTTTCTGTGCTATCTGCACTGCGATCAACATAGCAATATATGAAGTTTTGTATGAATATTACTCAAAGAGCATTAGGAGACCCAAAAGCTGAGCACTTTTGTCTTTGTGCATAATTGACAAGTTTTGTCCCCAGCAATTTCTTTTCCATTACATCTGTGGTACTGGTTTGTCGGGAGAATAAATTGCAAAGATCGAATTTTCTGTTATTTCTTATGCAATAAAATTGGATGGCCGCCCTTTATAACAACTACTTGCTGTCCGGGAACATTGTGGACTATTTTTTTATACCTAATAAGGAAACATTCTTCTTTGTAGGTGTCAAGATGCTTCAAAAAAACTTTCCTTTGGAAACATAGTGCCTGTATTTGGTAGATAAAAGCTCAGAAGGAATGCACTTATTACAAAGCTGAATATCATGCAAACAGTTTGAGGGTCCCTTGATGACATTTCCTATTAATGGCCCCATATTGCTCAACATAACACTGTACTGTAAAATGTACTAATTTTGAAAACAAGTGGGACGATTATCACAGTACCCATAGCATATATTTACACGATTGAGGATACAGCAAGTAGGTCTGTTCGTGATTTTACAATGTGAGCCGACACTTGCTTTTGCAGGACTTCTTAAAACAAGGAGAGCCGACCTCTGCCAGGTGTGACGAGCTGGAGTCCCTGAAGAAGCGCTGTCAAGCTACTCTGATTGAGAACCCCCGGGGTGGTCAGAGGGTGTTGCAGAACAAGACCGTCACTGACCGGAGTAAGCCGGGCTCAAAGAAGCTGAAGCCAGAGGAGATCACTCAGATTCAGCCTCAGAAGATATCCTTGGACTTACGATCCGGTAATTTTTGCAGTTCTCCCCTGCCAGTGCATAGGAGATTTTGTTTTGTAGTGGGTGGCCAGTTTTCAGAACTGTGTTTGGGAGAACATTTATAATGATCTGACCTTTCTATTGCTGCTCAGGGAAGTTAGCAAGTCATTCTGGTGCTGAAAGTCAAGCTGTAATAAGCACTGCTGTTGTTTCCCAGTGTTTTTCTGGGTTTAGATTTTTTTAACCGCACTGTAATAACAGAGAAATTCCAAGAAAATCATTGAATCCAAGGAAACTTGTTACTTCCTTGGTTTTATCTGCTCTTGCAGCCTAAAAGATCATGATCAGACAGGCAAAGCTGTGTTTACAACTAGGCTTCTTTAGAAAAGCTCAAAGATTAGAATCAGTGTAATGTGTGTTTGCACCCTCTCTTCCTGATAGTGATATTGTGTCTGATCATAGCTTTGTTTTTGAGCGGTTATTTTGATGTCTCCTTCCAGATGTATTTCCAGTGCTTTGGATATTCTGTTTTATTTCCAGTTTGTGAAGGTGGGCTTGAAGGGTTAAACTTGAGGCATTGTTATGATTAACAGACACACAGTTAATGTTATCAAAAGAGTTGTGTCCTTGCCTGAAAGCAATTTTGAACTGACAGCTATATAACTGAACACAGAAATACAATATACATGGCTGCAAATAAACAGTCCTGGGTGACTCTACTCACAACATGAAATGAAAAACCCAAATATTTATGTATTAAGCTAATTGCCGTTGATTGCATACTAAAATCTGTAAAGACATTTGATCTCTTGTGATGTTTGGTGATTTTTTTGCAGAATGTAAGTGAAAATCAGGTTTCTTCAAGGTATCGTTATGCTTTCATCCTGCAGGTGAAGCCCAGTCCTTTAAGCTGAAGTTCAAAAGAGCAGAAGACTATCCTATTGATCTCTATTATCTTATGGACCTGTCTTTCTCCATGAAAGATGATCTGGAAAATGTCAAAAACCTGGGAACAAGTCTGATGAATGAAATGTCAAAAATTACTTCTGATTTTAGAATTGGTAAGAATTGACACAGTATATTTTAATCATAGACCTGGTATGAGTGCAAAATGTTTACCAAAAAAGGACTCACTGTTTAAGTGCAGAAATGTTGAGTAAATGCTATTAATGGTAAGTCAGAATTCAGGATGTACACTATAAAGCATAACCCAGTTGAATCTAAGAATGTAGAGTACCAGACATACAAGTCATCATTAACTGTGTGTGAGAGGACTTGCACCATTTTCATTTTGCCATCTTGTGGTTCTGAAAGTTTTTTGCTTCTGGACCATTGTCTTAAAAATACATAATGATTCGCTTTTATATTTAGTATTCAGGTTGTTCTTTGTCATAATACAAGTAGTAGACCAGTAGTTATACAGATCTAAATGCAAATCATGGAGTAAAATGTCATTCTAAAATTCAATAAAGTTCATCGCTCTTAAGTCACAATATTACATATTTCATAGTTGTATGAAAATGTGCAAGATGGCTCTGTCTCCCATTTTGATAAGGAATGAACTATGAATTAATATTCATATCTCGCAATCCATAGAGACTGCATGGTCTTAACTACTGTGACTCTGGAAGATGTTTCTTGAAATAATATATTTTGGTTTTCTAGGTTTTGGGTCCTTTGTGGAGAAGACTGTTATGCCATACATAAGTACGACTCCAGCCAAGCTACTGAATCCTTGTACTGGAGAAAATAATTGCACTAGTCCTTTCAGCTATAAGAACGTGCTCAAACTCACCAGTGATGGGAAGCAGTTCAATACTCTTGTAGGGCAGCAGCAAATTTCTGGAAACCTGGATTCTCCTGAAGGAGGTTTTGATGCCATAATGCAAGTTGCTGTCTGTGGTGTAAGTGTAGTTCTATGCTGATCTTTCTAAATCGCAAAGTGGTTAATCCAGAGACTTCTCTTTTCTTCTAAAAAATCTGTTTTATCTGCGAAATTCAAAAGGTAAAATTCAAGACCAGGCAGAAACCTGGCAGATGCTTTTTAAAATACAGCAGTGCAGAGTATTACACATGGGTAACAAAAACATGTACTATAAATAAAAAAATAGGAAACGCTGAACTCGAAGAGGCTACTTATGAAACTTAAGTGTTTGTTGAGACATTTACATCCTCTAGTC